TGGGAGAGACATGCAAAGAGAGGACCTGGGAGAGACATGCAAAGAGAGGACCTGGGAGAGACATGCAAAGAGAGGACCTGGGAGAGACATGCAAACAGCCTGCAGAGAATCACGCTAAACTGCTAAGCAGAGAGCAGCAGGACTCATACTTCAGAGAAACAGATGCATGGGATCACAGAAAGCTGCCCCCACACCGGCGAGGTGATTTGGTTTGACTGTTTGAGTCCTGCTGGAAGGTGACCCCCCCCACCCCGGCACGCAGTGAGTTCCAGTGACGATTTGGCGACTGAGACAGGAGACTGGCACCATGTCGCACACTGCCTGGCTCTTTTCAGACCCACCAGGAAGGGGGGGTGTTTCTGTAAGGGGGGGGGCGGGTAACAGTAGCACAGCTACCCGCCTTGTCCGCGCCGCAGGTGCCCCGCCCGCCCTGCCCCGTCGGGATGAGGTAATCAGACGCTCGTTCCAGCTCGCGCCGGACAAGTGTGAACAAGTCGCAGGGCCCAGGGAGCACGTTCTGTACATTAAGATACACATCAGGCTCTCTACGGGACGGCCCCTGCCTGCCACATAACGGCCCCTTTATTCCCCCCCCCCCCATCCAGACCTGGCTTCCATTCAGTACCAAGCGATGAAAAGCCCACGGCGGGATGGGCTCCGGTGAGGAGAAGTCCAGCAGGCGTGTGCGTGTCCATGAGTCAGCAAGCACCACGACTCACCATCTTGGCCTCTGAGTGGATGCCGGGGACGTGGGGGGAGGAGCAAGAGTTGTTGTGGGCGGGGCCTTGCATCGCCATCATGCTGGAGCTCATGGACATCTGTCTCTCCATCTGAAGCGGTCAAGGTGAGACACAGGGGCGATCAGCACGCGAACCGGCAAAGTCCACACCTCCTGACACAAAGGTGCCCTCGATGGGGTGTGGGGGCCTGTCTGTAATTATGCAGCTTGGCGCAAAGGGGGCCTCTTCTCCGCTTCCATGACCTCGACTTCACACATCATCCCTGTGGCTTCCCCGCATGATTTGGTTCTCAGCAGTTTAAATGGTGAGTCAAAGAGAAACTAACACAGGAAGACACCCGCAGCCAGAATACATCTCCAGTGGCCTAATAATAACCGTGGCTGGTGGAGCCCGCGAGCCGCACCGCAGCCGCCCGCGTGTTCCGGAGGCGCCCGCATGCAGCCATGGCGTGAGAAAGCTGTAGGGCAAATCTAACAGGTGCAAAAATATTCCTTGACTGAAACCTGGCAGAGTTTGTGTGGCTCTGAAGCCATGGAGACCAGAGCAGGTAGTGTGGCATTAGCTTCCGTCACACAGGCTGGGGCCACCAGGAGCTGTTAGACATATCAGCCCCCGTCCGCTGAGAAGCTGGGGCCCCCCGATACTGGGCGGGGGCGATTTGTGTTAAGTGTGAAAATACCACTGGGACCCACCGCTGTCAGTCACCTCGGGAACACAGACAGCCCCACGATTTGACTGAGACTGAACATGCCAGCAAAAAGAAGAAAGAAAAAAAAAAAACAGGCCGTCTGGCACCGCATGATGTGTGATGTCATTAAATGCCAAAGGGTGGGGCCCTTCTTCACCGGGGGCTCGTCCCGGCTCACAGACCCACACTGTCTGCCTCATGGGGCCTCGGATACGAACAAGAGGTTTTGCTTTAAGTGTACAGTATAAGTGTACTTCAGAGGAGCAGAAAGCAGAACCCCTGAACATTATAGGCTTTGTGTGCATGTTAATAAGGGGGAGTACAGCGGGGGGGGGGTACTTACGGGCATGAGGACTGCCGAGGACCCGGGCATGGTGGGGTCCGGCAGCGTTCCGGCCATGGAGGCGGGCAGCGGCTGGCGCGGCCTGTTCCTCATGTGCAGCAGCGACGACAGCGAGTTCGGCATGGGCCTGCAAGAGTTACAGACGATTAACATGCGAGGACCTGGGTCCTGCTGCCGGGGTCCCACTGCGATCCCGGCTCGGTCCCGCTGCGATCCCGGCTCGGTCCCGCTGCGATCCCGGCTCGGTTCCGCTGCGATCCCGGCTCGGTTCCGCTGCGATCCCGGCTCAGCATTAAATTAAAGGCCTTCAGGTTCCCGTCTGGATGTGTGTGACACATCAGCGGCGGCTGCTGACGCCCCCGAGCGCCATGAGAGGCCGACGGGGAAGTGGACAGAGCTTTGGGGGCCTCGGGAGGGCATGTGCTGAAGCCCCCCACCCCAGCTGCGTGCTGACGTCTCCCCCAAGACTAGTTATCTTCTGACACGATTCACCCTCCACATCTGCTCAGCCTTTTGACTGGTCCGCAAACTCCCATAAGAAGGATGAACCCCCCAGTAACACACACAAACTAAAAAGACAGACAGACAGACAGATGATGAGATAGATGGACAGATAGAAGTAGTATAACAGATCGTAGTTGATCCATGATCTGTACAGGCGCCATGGTTCAGCGTGCAACTGAATCATGGATTCACTGCAAAGTTTAACCATAATAGTGTGAAATACACTTCTGCTTTTTAAAGTGATAAATCTCGTTGCCACAGAGGACATGCATTCAGAGCTTGAAATTCCTTTCTCACAATGGGGGAGAAATCCCCCCCCTTATGTGAAGCACATGGGGGGGTAAGTATAGATTTTCAGTGGGGATGCAATAAAAAAATAGTGCGAATTTGATAGGGTTGGCTTTGGCATTTTTTTAGTGCCACCCGCTTCCCATTCTCTTGACAAGCTGTTTGAATGGTTTTCCTGACTTTTGTTATTCTATGATCTCAATAAAATAACTTGTGATCTCAAGAAAACTTTGGCTATGTTGAAATCATGAGAAAAATAAGACAGAAAAAGACAATGATGGATGTTCTCTACGAACTTCCGTATGACGTGGTGAAAAGGTACAGACGAAGCAAGTGTGCATTCACGTAAACCGGGCATGTTAAAATTCCCTTGCTATGCATATTCTTTAAGTTCTCTCAGTAATAAATGGAAAGCAAAATAATCCAGTCCATGACTCAAAACTGTGATATGATACAAACCAGACAGACAGAGATTCATATAGAGATAGATACAGATAGACAGATACACAGATAGAAACTTAGCAATCCCAGAATGATTTGCCCCAGAATATGTCATGATGACTGCAGGAGAATGAGGGTGTTTGAATTCACATACGCAAGACAGATATCTCCGCTGATCTCCCCTTAATCTCTGCGTGTGACTCGACTGAGGAGGTCGATCCAAACTATCTGGCCGCGAAACGCTGCAGGCGACCGAAGTTGAGGAGAAAATCCTGGGATACGGGGGCGGCTTGGGGGGGGGCTGGCAGCCTGGCTCTCATCCTGCTGCACAAATATTCGTACGATTCCGGGCTGGACAACATTTACGCTACGGCCCTCAGCTCAGCCCTGACATCCTTTTCGTTTCGACACCTTTCCTGCCCGATTCAACGTGATCACATGTTGGGAGCCAGCCCCCACGCACACACGCACGCACGCCCGCGCACACACACACGCATACACACGCACGTGCGCACACACGCACACACGCGCGCGCACGCACGCGCATACACGCACGCACGCGCATACACGCACGCACGCGCATACACGCACGCACGCGCATACACGCACGCACGCACGCACGCACGCAGAACCTAAAACCATCATTCTGCTGAGACTGTGACAGGTCACACGGCAGAAGCCCCACAGCCGTTCGGGGTGCCCACAGTGTGCCTGATCATGTTTAAGCTTTCCATCACTTGCCTCTGAAATAAGAAATAAAGTTTTTTTTTTTTTGTAGAAATGAAAAATAATGGGGTCATGGCAACATCAACAGAGCAGCACCCCCCTGTCACAGAACTGCTCTAGGTGCAACTGCTCGCGGCCGTGGCCACACTTGTGTTTAGACTTCAGCGTGCGAGAAGTTTGAACTGCTAGCATTCAGCATTGCACTCCTCAGTGACAGTGGCCCTCACAAGCCTGACTCTCTCCCCCCCCCCCACCTCCAGTGACCCCTGCACTCGATATCCCTCCACAGCTGTCATTACTGCCCCGGCCCAGTGAGGTCCGAATTCGGCGAGTCTGGAGGTGCTGGAGCGTCATAAAGAGCAAGTCTAGCGCTGGAAAAGTGCCGAGTCTCTGAAACACACCGCTGGCTGTAAAGAAAAAAAAAAAGGAAAAATAAAAAGCCTCTTGACAGCTGTCCAATAGAAAAGCGTATTAATGTGTGGAGGGCAGTTAATTAGGGCCGGCTCCAGCTGTGCAAGAAGAAAGAGGCCTTTGAAGGCGCCCAGGTCCCCTGCCCCCCCTTCAGGCCGTCAGAGCTGCTCACCTGCGGCTGACGGCCCATCGACGGAAAAATCAACAGCGCGAGGCGTCCAGAAGGACCGGCGCGGGAAACAAGCGCCCTTTTCTGAGCGTGGATCGAACGGGGCGAAAATAAACCACCACTCAGTCTGCGTGTGCACTGGGCGAAGCGAACACGGCCTGCACAGCACGTGCGCTCATGCGGCCATGGGCCTGCCGATCAGCGCTCGCCGGCCCCCCCAGGGGGCAGGTGAATGCGGTGCAGTCCTGACCCTGCGCTCTCACATTACCCTGCACCTCACGGCTTCGGCATGACATCACCACTCCCCCATTGGCTCCCGCCCTCCCTCCCATCGCTCTTCCTTTTCTCCGTCTCATTCCCTTCATTCCCTTTCTCGCTCCCTTCTTTCTCCCAAACTGGACCAAGACCCAGTCCTGCGATGTGAAATTTAAAAGAATAAATAAAGAAAAAAAACCATCCACGGCCGCCCGGTCTGCCGGTGGAGCTCGCAGTGCTGCACTGCCTTCTCTTCCTGCCAGGGCCAGACCGCCGCGCAGCCATGCCCGCACTCACGCAGACAGCATGCGCACGATCCCGGGTCCTAAATCCCGACTCGCTCGCTGTGTGACTGAAACTGAGGCGTGCTGGCCGCTGCCCAGGCGGAGGGAGGAGAGAGAGCCAGGTTTAGCCGCACCACTGACTCACATCCTTCCCTTCTGAACCCGCTCCAGCGCTGATGTAATCTTCTTGGCTCGCTTCCCCCCACCTCCCCCTCCCTGCCTGCCTGCCTGCCCGCCCGCCCGCCCGCCCTCCCGGCCTGGCTCGGCCTGCCCCTCCACCCCTTTCCCTCATCCGACAACTCCAGCCTCGCCGCGCACGCTAGTGAAGTCACCGCTAACCCTGCTAGATACAGCGAATGAGAGAGAGAGAGAGAGAGAGAAAAAAAGCTTTCGATTGTAACCAAAACAGCCCAGGGCCGAGTTCCAGATGCATAGAGCCGCCGCGGCGTGGTCGCCGTGGCGACGGGGGCAAACACTGAGAGAAACAGCGGCCAGAGAGGGCTTGCAGCTGCCTGGCGCTCGGAGTAAACACTGAGCAGGACGTGTCAGTGATTTACTGCCTTTAATCACATGCGGGAGGAAAGTGCCACGGAGCTCAGGCTGAGGAAACAGTCAGAATCCGATCAAATAAATCAAGCCTAATGGCTAACGACAAAGGCTGACTTTTATTAGCGGACCAGGGATCGGACCCGAGGTTCAGGGGTACCGCTGCACTTGGGGCAGGACAGTAAATAGTAGCGGAGAAGAGAATGTTGGCAAAATTGGACAATTCCGCCTATCCACTTCAGGGGGCGCTATCCTGGAGCAAATTCAGCCACCGGCTCATTCCACTACGCTGTGCTGAAAAAAGATACTGGGGTCATTCCTGCCTGCTGCCATCAGACACCACAGCACCTCCTCTCGATGTGCCACTCCCCCCCGCCCCCCCCCCAACCATAACATGTCCGGAAGTGACCCATCTCTGTAAAAACACAAATCCAGAGCTATCCGTATCACCATCACTGATTTCTATCATCATTATTACTATTATAACGATAATAATAATCATTATTATTATTATTATTATTATCGTCATCTCTACATTTATTTCTGTAATATTACCATATTCTGTTTTCAGGATATTCTATTAGTGTACTGTGTACTTTTAAAATTTGACGCAGCATGTTTGCAGTATGTGTGCTGTCTTCACACTCTATGTATTTTCGTATGTGTATTACGCTCCTTCTACCGTATACAGCAGAATTCCCCCCTGGGATCAAGAAAGAAACCTTAATTTCGGGGTATAAGAGGGATCAGCACACATGAAGGGACGGAAAAGACGGACCTATGCAGCGTTCTTAAGGATGCTGAGGGTTCTGAAGTGGAGATACGCTCATCGCACGGCTATTGTTCTATAACCAAGCCAGACACTCAGGTTGACCAGCCCATGAGGACTGCAGTATTCCTGAAAGCATAACGGACCACACAACAACACGAATACAGACCTAGGGATATACTATCACAAGCAACTCTTATCCAGGGATTCAGAGATCCTTTTTATCTTTCAAGGCGTAGGTTTGGTTTCCACATTGGAAGGGACCAAATCGGCCGCAAACCCCCAACCCCACCTAAACACACGGTTTCCATGATACTGACAGGGACGTGACCTTAAGGTCTACACCCAAATCGACACCCAAATCTACGCCCTTGCTTTCTTTATGCCCTGTTCACACACTTCTTAAATGTCTTTCTTTCTTCCACCTTTATAGATCCCCCTAGAACCCATTCCCCATCCCGTACAGACCCCCGGCCTTCTCCCCCATCTCCCCGTACAGACCCCCGGCCTTCTCCCCCATCTCCCCGTACAGACCCCCGGCCTTCTCCCCCA